TTAATGGTTCTGTAGAGGGTTGGCCTCGCCTGCAGTGCACAAAACACACCCTCCCCAACATCCCTCGAGAAGCCACAGAGCTGTTCCCTCCCCACCAGATCCACTCACTCCCGGTGTCCGCGGCAGGAGGGCAGGCTGCTCCCAGCATCCAGGTGGGCTGTCACCGGGAACACGGCTGCTTTCCAGTCCCGGGGCCAGTCCGGGACCCGTGGCCACTAGAGGTAGCTCTGCACACACAAACGCACCCAGGAGCCCCGTGGAACCCTCACAGACGCAGCAGATCCCGATGAGTTTGCCCCTGGAGGAGACCACCCCATGTGCCCCATCTCCCCCCCAGCGTGGTGCCCACAGCAGCAGCACCTAAAGCCTCTCTGGGGATGAACAGGAGCATTCCAACACCTTGGAATAGGAAGTGATGAGATGCCTTTTCTCCTCAAATCCTGGGGATGATGGGGCTTTTGGAGCCTTCACAGCACCTTCCAGGGATCATAAATGGCACCAGGGACACAGGATTGGGCTCAGAGCATCTCCCCATGCCATGCTGCCTGGGGGCACCTCTCTGTGGGCAACGTGGGCCAGCATTGCCCCTGGAAACAGAGGGATCTGCCCTGTGAGCAACCCTGCTGAGAGCTGTGCTCAGGCTGCCCCAGGACTGGGGAGCCCCTGCTCAGGCAGAGGGCATGGGCAGCCAGGAGCACCCAGCCCTGATCCTGCCTGACCTGGGGTCCATCCTGATTCCCCAGCCTCGCTCAGACCCGCTTGGAAATGTCTGAACTTCTGAATTTGAGGCTCACTGTGCCTCAAATCTCACCTCTGCCCACCCCACTGGTCGTGCCCTCCCTTCTGCTGGTGGGACAGGAAAAGCTCAGCCAGGGCTGCTCCACTCCCATAGGGCAGGGTGAGCCCAGTTACTCCCAGTTTGGTCTGTGGACACTGCAGGCTCTCATGAGGTGTGGAGCATCCTGGGGTGGCACCTGCTCAGCCAGAGCTGCTCCCCTGACCATGGTTCAGGGCAAGCCAAGGAGCCCCAGAGCTTCTCAGGGTGTGTGCAGGTCTCCTTGCCCCACACCCAGCCCTTGTGCCCCCAAACCTGAGTCCTGCACGAGCCCAGAGCCTTGTTCCACACCACAGCTGAGCCCACTGCCTGGCTGAGCCACAGTGACCATCTCTTGTTCCTTCCTCAAGGGGTTTCCATGGACAGGGACATCAGGCTGTGAGGGAGAGAAGCAGGGACAGGTTTTTGAGCTGTCTTGCAAGTGTCTGACCCTCTCTGGCCTTCAGCTCCCAGCTAAGGCAGGGGCTCTGTGAGCCTGGAACTGCTCCCAAACCCAGGACATGCAGGAACACCCCCAACACAGATGCCTGGTGTTTCCTTAAGGCACAAGGCTCTGTCAGGGAGAATGGGCTCCCTGCTGGGATCACTCCCCACAGAACTCAAGTGTATTTGTTCAGCTTAAAGGAAAAGCAAAGACTGGGCTGTGACAGCAGCCAGGCTGAGCTGCTGGTAGATCATTAACAGCCTGGCCTGCTCTCTGCCTCAGCCAGAGATTCCCTGAGCACTGCAGAGACTGTGGTCCCCAGGGAAAAGCTTAAACTCAGCCTAAAAACTCCAAGTACGTCAGTGCTGTGTAGTTCATCCACAAAGCCTCTCATCCTACACACACTGAACCCCCCACGTGCAGCTCACAGGGCAGGCCAGTGCTGAGGCACCTGAGAGAGAGAGGCCAACCTGTGCAGCAAAAGCAAAGAGTCTGAATTAGGGAAAAGCACAAATAAACTCCAAAGTGAGCCCAGCACCTGGGCAGGGGGGGGGAATGCTGTGGCAAGAAGCGGGGTTCAGGTACCCTCAGCTACCTGGGTACCCAGGGCAGCCTCTTTGTTACACCCCTCCCACCCCGCTGCCATTTTGGCCCCAAACCCTCAGCATTTAGCCTTAAAATGTGAAAAAAACGTGCAAAAAGCAACTCAGTGCCTGGCAGAGTCCTCTCTGCAGGTAGCAAATGAAATATGAGAGGGCTGGAGCCCAGCCTGTGCATCTGAGGGGAAAACACTTGGGCAGGTTTCGAGGCATCTGCTTCATTCTGGGAAAGATGGGTAAAACCCTGCAAATGTCCCAAAAGCAAAGGGTGGGGAGGGTGGCCCCACCAAATCTTGTTCCCCCAGACTCTCTGCTAGATGGGGATGTGCTCGGTTTCACAAAAAGATAGCCCATTTTGTGGAGCCTTTGAATATTCAAATTGAAAGTATCGCGCAATCATTGATTGTCAAATCATTGGTTTCTAGAGGTTTTAAATACTTGGCATTAGGAGAGAAAAACTCAAACTTATACCCGTAGGGATAAAACAATAATATTGTCGGGATCCACCTGCCACTGCCACCAGGCAGGCAGGTCCCTTCACCCCCCGGTTTCGAGCCTGTCACCTCTTGCCCCCTTGGCCAGCTCTGGGGCCGGGGCCGGGGCCACCGCGGCTGCAGCACCGGGTACCTGGCGAGGTGCTGCCCCTTCCAGCCCAGGATGTCCGGTAAGCCCCGCTCTGCCCCCCCCGCTGTCCCCCGACACCCCGTTTTGGGGCCGTTTCGGGGTTCGCCGGGGTCATTCCGCGAGCGAGGCGATGCCGCCGTGCCAAGGCAGGAGGGAGCGGGGAGGGCGGGGAGGAGGGAGGGAGGAGGCAGGGGAAGGATCGGCTCCAGCCCGCGCGGGGGCCAGCGGGGCCGGCTCGGGGCACGGCGGGGACCGCGGGCAGAGCCGTCGGGGGGAGCCGGGGCTCGCCCATCGCCGGCGCTGCCGCCGCGATCCCCGCGGAGGGATGGGAGAGGCGGACCCGCACCTCCGTGTGCCCTCCCCGCACGCTCTGCCCTGGGCACGCCGCTCTTGAACCCCGGCCCCGGGTCCCAGCCTGTCCTTGTCACCCTGCTTCCCATTCCCCACCTGCGCCGACCACCCTGTGCCCACTCTCGCCACCCGGCCCCTTCATGCCCAGCCCCATCACCCCGTTCTCTGACCCCCAGCCCTATCACCCTTCTCCCTGATCCTCAGCCCCATCACCCCATCCTCTGACCCCCAGCCTCACCAGCCTTCTCTCTGACCCTCAGCCCCATCACCCCGTTCTCTGACCCCCAGCCTCACCACCCTTCTCCCTGATCCTCAGCCCCATCACCCCATTCTGTGACCCCCAGCCTCATCACCCTGCCCCTTGACCCCAAACCCTCTACCACCACCCTGTTCTCTGACCCCCAGCCCTATCACCCTTCTCCCTGATCCTCAGCCCCATCACCCCGTTCTGTGACCCCCAGCCCCATCACCCTGCCCCTTGACCCCAAACCCTCTACCACCACCCTGTTCTCTGACCCCCAGCCCACCCTCACCACCCTGCCCCTTGGCTCCCAGCCCCATCTCCCTGTTCTCAGACCCCCAGCCCACCCTGCCACCCTGCTCCCGACCCCAAGCCCACCCTGACTCCCAGCCTGTCCTTGTCACCCTGCTCCTGATTCCACCCCTGCCCTGACCACCCTGTGCCCACCCTTGCCACCCTGCCCCTTGGCCCCCAGCCCCATCCTCCTTCTCCCTGCCCCTCAAAAACATCACCCTGATCCCTTGACTCCCGGCCCCCCCTCACCACCCTGCCTCTTGGCCCCCAGCCCATCTCCCTGCCCCTTCCCTGCCCAGCCTGCCCAGTGCCACAGGGCTGCCCGTGGTAGCCCTGTTCTGGGTGCTTCACCTGCAGGCAGGTGCCTCAGGGTGCCAGAAAAGCAAGATCCTGGGGGCATAATGCTCTGCCAGGAGAGCTGCTGCCTCAGAGCCCCCTCTGGCTACAGGGAGGGCTGGTAACGAGGGTGTTCTCCTAAAATTCAACCCTTCCCTCCCCTCGTCTTCCCCATCTGCTGTTTGTTGGATAGAAGCAAAACATCAAAAGTATGAGATGAATAATCCCCAGCTGAGCACGGCCCAGCAAAGTGCCCCCGAGGCAGCCCCAGCTCAGCTGTCACCTCTCTGGAGGGACCCGTGTGCCTGTCACAGCTTGTCCCCACCCCGAGCACCACGGGGGCACTGGGAGGGCTGGGCAGGACCCCGTGCATCCCCTGGGCACTGGGAGAGGCTGTGGCACGAGGGAACAGTGCCCACAGCGTGGGATTGCCTGGGTGTGGGGGCAAAACCTGCAGATCCAGCCCTGTCCTCCTGGCAGGATCTGCTGGCACCGTGCAGCTGGTGACTGCCTGGGAGAGGGTGCTGTTCCCCTCCAGAGGTGGCACTGGAAGGCCAGCTTTAGCCCCAGCACTCCTGCTCCTTCAGGGCTGTCTGCTGCCTGCTCTGCCTTTTTTTTTGGGTGTAGAGAATGGCCTGGGCTTGGTGCCCCTTTGTCATGTGATTCGGATTAAAACAACTGCCCCAGGTTTAAGTATTTTACCATGAATGCAGCAAGGGAAAGTGATTTTTCAGAATAACTAAATTCTTTGCTATTCCCTAAAAATCCCCCATCAGGTAGTGCCTGGTGATTGCTGATTGTTTTCAGATGGATTAAAGACATCCTGAATGCTTGTTTGAAGTCAATGGGAGTTGTACATGGCCAAAGTAAAGAGACAATCTAGGCTTTGCAAGAAGTGATTCATGAAAGCAGTCATTTTATTTGTGTTTTGTTCAGCCCTCTGCATAACCACCCACATATTTCCATTGTTTTATTCCTGGTCTTCCTCTGCCAGATGAAGTGCTTCCCACATTTATTTTCAGGTCCTGAGAGAGGCAAATATGTTAGGAATTTAAATAAATTCAACAGCAGCAGCAGATGGAGCTCGGTATTAGGAAAGCTGGAGGGAGGGCAGGGGAAGAAGGAGATAGAGAAGAATAAAACATGTGTGGCTACTAAATATTATCAACTCCAACTTTTCCATAAGTGTCTGTTTGTCACAAGCTCGAATAAGAGGTGTTCAAAAGGGCTGTAAACTGTGATTGCAAGGGACTAAACAGTGACCAGTTAATCACGGTAACTCTACACTGAAACCATGTTGGATTTGCTGTTTGCTCTCCCTTCCTGCAAAGTGTTTTTCCCCAAACTCTTTCAGGAAAGCCCAAGGTGTACCAAGGTGTCAGAGTAAAGATTACAGTGAAGGAGTTACTGCAGCAGAGAAGAGCACGACAGGCAGCAACTGGTTCAGCAGTGAGTGAAAATATTTTGTTGTTTGCTTTGTCTCTTCTCCGTTTATTTTCCTTTTTTTTTTTTTTTTTTGCCAAGACTGTAGTCTCTGGGCCCAAATGGCTACCAAAGCCTGAGTGTAACAGGGAAAAAACATTCAGCCAGTGATCTAAAGGGGTGAGAATCTGTGCAGGGAGAGAGCAGGGCTGGTGCTCCAGAAGCATCACTCAGCCCGGGATGAAAGGCTCACCTTCCAGAGGAGGGGATGGAGTTCTGTGTGAACTCACACTCTCTCTCTCTCACTCTTCCAGCCTTTAGCTCCAGCCACTCCAGGGATTTGCACAGAGAGGCTGGTAAATCATGATTTCTTCCTGGTTCGTGACACCCCAGCTCGGGAAGGCTCTCAGATCTCAGTGGCTGTGCCTCGCTGCAGCCGATCGCACAGAAAGCTGCTCGGGCACGGGCACAGGGGGCCGGGGGAGCGGCGCACAGAACTGCCAGGCTCTGGAAACGCTGGGTCACTCCTCCCCTGCAGCATCACAAGGGCTGAGCCGAACCGGTTTTCACTTCCCACCGCCGGTTTACACATCACATCACCCGCGGAGCCCACACAGGAAAGAGTGAGCGGTGGCAGAGCAGGGGGTTACCTCGGTGAGCTGCACAAGGTGTGTGCAGCCCTGCAGAGGAAAACCCCAGAGGTCTGCCTGGTTGCACATGTCACCAGAGAGGAGAGGGGTGGTCAGTCCTGCAGGCACTCCCAGCCCAGAACAGCCACTGTCCCGTGAATTAAGTGCACGGGGTGTGCTGGGAAGTTGTTGCCAGGGAAATGAGCTGCTGACTCAAGAGCATGTGGAATAAAGGAAATCAGGTGGAAGCTTGTATGAGTTAAAACTGAGAGAAGAAAACCCCCACAACACCAAAACCAAACGACAGCAGTACTTGTATTTGCAGAGTGAAATCCTGGTCCCAAACAAGCATCAAAACTCCCGTTGCTTTTGGGGTGGATTTCTCGCTTCCAGCAGGTCCTGGAAATGGGTGATCTGTCCCCTTCAGCTTCCAATATCCCTTAAAAAACGAGGCTGTCCGTTTTCACAGAGCACAGAGCTGTGTTGGAGTGGGGAGCAGTGCCAGAGCCGGCTCTCCCACCACATCAGCACCAAGCACAGCAACCCACTGATGCCCAGCCATGGAGACACCCGCAGTTGTCATTAATTAATTACTCATTCTCAGTAATAGTCACCCCTAGGAATTCTTTGGGATCCTTCCACTGTGGAATTCACGGTCCTGGAAATTAACACACATTCGTTTCAAGGGCATTCGTTTGAACACACGTCAGTTTTCAAAGCAAACCTCTGTGGAGTCAGAAATGCAGCAGAAAGATCACACCAGCACGGGGCTGGCTCAAGGGCTTTAAACCAGCCTGGGGTTGTGCTTCTCCCACGTTGCTACAGGAAAAATCATGTTATGCACATCAATCTAATGTTCTGTCAGCGCCAGGGAAGTTTCCCAGGTGGAAATGAGGGAAATAAGGTTTACATAAGTAGGTTACACCGAAATCCGGACTTACCTTGCTCTCCCCTGTGTCCTTTCCTTCCTCTCTCTTTGCCCAGGTTTCTTGGGGCAGCAGCAGCAGCAGCATCCAGTTCTCAGAGTCTGTGTCTCCGCCTCACCCAGGTTGGTACAAAGCCCGTGCACATGTCCCATCCCACTCCCTTCCCAGTTTTCCCACAGCCCGGAGCGTTCCCAGCCCTTGGCTGAGTCAGGCACTACCCGCAGTGCAGCCAATCAGCACCTGAAAGGAGCCCATGGAATGCAGATGAGGGGCACACTCAGCCCCTCGGGAGCACTCTCACCCCCTCTCTTCTCTGCAGGTTGTTTTTCCCACAGCAAGGACCAAGATCCCCTTCAGGAAGGGATGCACATCCCCCAGGGAATAACACTGCTGGCATCACCCTCCCCAGGCTCTGCTCTCTGGGTTTCACTGGACACAGAGGGTCAGCCCTGGAGCACTTGGTTGACTCCTGCTCTGATCTCTCTCTTCTGGCAGCATCCAGAGGAGTGAGAGGAGTGTCGGGTTCTCAGCAACACAAAGAGTTTCCTCCTCCTGCCTGTGAATATCCAAGGAAAGGGGAGAGGGGTGGGGGAACAGCACTTTGGGCTCACAGATCCTTCAATTATCCCTCAGCCAAAGCCCAGAGACCAAAAAAGTTGTCCAGGCACATTGCATGGACAAGGGAATTATTGAACCACTCATAGTTGGGAAGCAATTTGCTTATGTTAATAAGGAAATGTGAGACGTACCAAAGCTTTTTCAGGCTGGAAAGCCTCCACCAGTTTATGTATTTTGGGTGCTTCCACTTCCTCCCCACATCCAGCCAAATGCTGCCACCTTGGACCTGTGTGTGCAGCTCCACTGCCCTCAGACCTGTGCCCTTCACGTGGACAGGGCTTTGCTTTTAACCATATTTAAACACAGGATGAAAGGACAGTAATGCTGAAAAGCCAGATCTGCTGAGAGCTTTCCAGGAACTCACCCTTTGGCCAGGAACACTGTGTGGAGGCAGTGCCACATTATCCCTGAGCTGCTGCATTTGGTCTGCTCAGAACTTCATCCCCTGTCTGGCTGTTTGGGGGATAAAAGAGCAAATTACTCTCCTGTGGTGCCCTTCTTCCTGCAGATGCAGCTGCCCCGTGGCTGGAGATGGGTGAGGCACAGGAACAAGCCCTGTGCCAGGCTGTGGAGCATAAATCACTGCATGGCAAGATTCTGGCTCTGTAAACACTTGTAGGAAGGCTGGAGGGTCAAGAATCTGAGGGAGTTTCCATCTGGATCCCAGTCCAAAATGCCTGGGGCCAGAAGAGTTTCCAGCAGTATTTAAAGAGCTTCTTTCCAAGGGGACTGAAGTTCCCCAAGTTACTCACATGTCCTGAGCATCTTCCTCCTGGTTTCTGCTTCCCTAGAAAATCCACCCTGAACTCGCAGGACCTTTTCCTTTGTCTAAATCCACAGGGCTGCTGAACACACGAGAGCACTGAAACCTGACCTGGGGCAAAACCTGCCCCCTGTGACACTGAATAACCTGCTCCTGTCTGCTCTCCCTTCTCTCCCAGCCCCTTTTGATGCAGAGCCCATCTCTTCTGTTCCCAACTGCTGCCCCTCCTGGCAGTTTTCCAACTGCCTCTCCTGTGAGGAAAGCCCCAGCTACTTGGAGCAGCTGATAGATTCCTGCCTGCAGTCGGATGCGCCCTCGGAGCCAGCCTGCAGTGCTTTCCAGCCATCACACTACACCCCAGACACCTTCCAGCCGGTCCCTCTCTGCTTTAACCAGGGCCTGGTAAGCTTTGTGTCCCCGGGGAGCAGCCACAGGGGGAAGTGGGGATGGGAGTCACGTCCTGGGGCAGAGCAGCAGCCAACCAGTTTGGGAATCTGGCTGCTTTTAGGGGATGCAGTGACTCAGGCTGCTTGGGTGGGCTCTGGAGGGTTTCCCAGAGGACAAGGAGGCCCAGACAAACCAAGAGAGAGACTGCAGAACAGGGGATGTTCCCTCTGCAGGTCCTGTAGGCTTTCAGCAAAGTTCCTGCTAGTACCTGTCTAACTCACAGAGAAACTCCCTATTAACACTGATGCCACAGGAACTCACTCTAAACTCCTGGGTTTAGACCCCCAGGGACCAAACCATCTCCCTGGGTAGGCAGACCCCCCCGAGAAAGGCAACAGCACGAAAATTCTGCCTGCTCTGCACATTTCCCAAACACCCCACAATTCCCCCGACGACGCCCTGAAATGTCCTTTTTTTTCCTTTCTCCTGTTTTTTTTTTTCTCTCTCTCCCTCACCCTGCAGGCTGCCAGCCCTCCCAGCTCAGCTGACCTGCCCAGCCCACTGAACTACAGCTGCTCCCCTGCCCAGCTCTCTCCTCTGACCCCGCTGACCCCCAGCCCTCCCCCTGCTCTGGACACCAGGACCTACGGCTGCCCCGGGGAGGAGTGGTCCTGCCTTGCCCCCTGCCCCTTCCCCAGCCCTGCCTGCTGCTGCACAGCCTGTGGCTCCCAGCCCTGGGACAGCAGGGTCCCCCAGTGCTTCCCCTGCCCCAGCACGGACTGCCTGGACTACCTGCCCCCCCTGGCCATGGCCGAGGACTTCTTCAGGAGGGACAGGAGCTGGGACATCTGCTACAGCTAATGGGGGCTGTGGTTTTGCACACCCACTCCACCCAGAGCAGATTAATTGCCCATGAACTATGCAAAGTCGTGCTGCCTGACACAGCCCGGGCTGTTCTGCACTACTCACAGGTTTTTGTACACCATGCTGTCACTACATTAATCCTCCTTGATGTTGTCGTGGTGGTGGTCTGCTGGGTTTTTTTTTTCCCCCCCTCCCGTCTGTTTTTGTTGATGTTGTTGTTTTTTAAAGAGATCCAAAGCTGCCTTATCCGACACGTCGTCACGCCGGCTCTTTTTGATACAAATAAATGATTTTGTGCACCTGCTGAAGCCTCTTCATTCCTCACGTGCTGAATGTCAGGGCTTTTCTCTCATGCTGGTGATGTTCCCTGGTGGCATTGGCAGAAAACTGCTGTTTTCCACCCAAGCCCAGGGCCCCTCAGAGCTGCAAAGAGGTGGAATCCGCTGCCAAACTTCTTTGGCTGCTGCTCAGCACCAGCTTCCCTGTGAGAAGCGAGAGGCTGAGGTAGTTTGGCAGCCCTTTGTGGAGCTGGGGCTGTTGATAACATTTTTTCAGCAGAATCAACTGAACAGGAGCTAAATGATTTTTTTTTTTTTTAAAGTAGATAATGGGAAAGTTACACCTGAGTATTTCCTGTTTCTTGCATAAACCCAGACCTTTCTAAGACTCTGTCTCGTCTCTTTTTAATAGCACTGGGGGAGGCAGATTGCCAAGACACCAGTTTCTCAGCTGAGCACCCAGACTGGAAAGAAAGAAGCATCTTTTCACATTAAATCCAACAAAAATGAAAAAAAAAACCTAATCACCTGTGAAGACAAAGCCATAATTTATCTAGCTGTGTGCTCACCTCCTCCAGGCACTTCTGCACTTCACTGAAAAGCTTTCCAGTCCCTTTACCTTATGCAAGGTGGCAGGTTTTTTCTCCAAAACATGCTTTAAAATATTTTGACAACCTCAAATAATATCTCCCCTTCCCCCCTGCCGTTACCTGATTAATCTCAGAGGTTGCCAAAGTGATAAATTCACCAGGTCACAGAACACTTACAAACACTGTATCTTTGCAGCGGTTGAGGTGTGATCACCCCCGTGCAGAGACACCCTGTTAGGTGTCGTTTTAGCAGTGCTGGTGGGTGCTTCAGCCCCTGGGTGTTATTTTGGGACAGTGGAGGGCAACACTCCTGCCCCAGCCTGCTCCAAGCCTTGCTCAGTGCCACTGCTCAAGGAGCAGGAGCACCTTGAGCCACAGTCAAAGCCCCTTATCAGTAAAGTGAAAGAGCCAGAAGGAGATAAGGCTGAGGCAAAATTCCTGAGGCTTCTGGAGGAAATGGGGTGACCACATCCTCCCCACGGGCTGGCAACGTTGGCCTGAGCTTGACAGAGCCAAGGGGATGCTCTGGAGAGCACAGGGCAGGTGAGATGGTAACTAAGCACTCGAGGAGGGCTCGTGTTAATACATCTCACAGCAAGGGGAGGAGTATCCTAAATCCACACAACAGCTCCAGCAAGGAAATCAAGGGCTAGAGGCTAACAAGATATCTTTCACCTCCACATCTAGTAGCCTCAACTGCTCTGAAATTATCGACTACTCCACTGGGATAAGGATATTTTCAGCAAAATGTTTCTATGCACCAAGTTCTCCAGGCTCTAACAGCTTCCATTAATTAATTATCACTGCCCTCCATCCCCTGCAGCCTCTTCCTATTGCCCTGCTGCTCCTTCTCCAGTTGTTTTGCAATGTCCCAGACTGGAAACATGTCTGAGATGCTGTTCCCCAGCTCCCTGTCAACAGCTCCGGGCCACACATGCAGTGCAAGTAAAAGCTTGCTGGCTGTTGACACAAAGTCTTGTTGACACAAGGAAGGAAAAAAAAACACAACAGAGGAACCATTCAAAGGTTGAATTGTGCATTTTCTGGCTATGAGGAACATATTTTTTCCCTCCTTTATCCCCCCCCCAAAATAAAAAAGGGTTCAAAGCAACTTTGAGAGCTGGCACAGCCCTATTGAAACTCTGGTGTGTCATCAGTCCCTGCCAGGTGAAGCCCTGCCAGCCTTTATAAACAGGTGTTTACACAAAAATGAGGATCATCTCATGCTTACAAAAGCCATGAATAACTCCACAATAACCTGCAGTTACAGAGAAAAGAAAAGGTTCTTATTTTCGGGTTCTTTACCAGTTGCACAGAGTATTTGATCTAAAAGTTTGGCTTGCCAACCGACTGACAGCTTTTCTATGGTGCCACTTCAGAGCATTTGTTTGGTGATAACAAGCCTTTGTTATTAGCAACTTCTCCAAAGCCACAGGTAGGAAGAGATAAACTGTGCAAATAAAGGGATATCACACACTGCCAGTTGGAGAAGTCGCATTTCCCCTGAAACAGGCACAGAAAATCGAGGGGTTAAGTGTGAACTGTTTAAACCAGTGAAATTCCCCCAGTGCAGAAGGCACCTTGGAGGCTTAAAAGGGATTTTCTTCTTACACAGTCTGGTTGGAAAGGGAAAGGAGTTTTACCTGCAGCAGCCTCCAGCTGTCTGGTGGCTCCAGTCCAAAGCCAACATGAATAACTTGTTGGTTGTGGCTTCAGAGCAGCCCTCTGATGTCTCAGCTTTGGGAATTTAGGCACAGGCGTATCTGGAGAGAGAAGGAATCCTTCCAGTGTCTGTCATGGGCTCTTCCCACTGCAAACTTCACCTGTCAGCTCTGAGCAACACCAGCTGCCGGGGGATGCTCTGAATGGAGCCACATCCCTCCCCAGGAGGACGTTTTCCCAGATATTCTGGAGGTGGTGATGATTCCAGACAATCCCATTGCAATTCCAAACAGCTACAACAACCACATTGCTCTGCACTGATCACCCAACAGCAGGCAGGTGACACAACACAGAGAAAAGCCACTTGAGAAAACTAAAACATGTATTTTTTTTATTTTAACACGTGCTGCAAAAGGACTCCAGTCATCCCACAGACATTTCTAGATGGCAAAAAAGCTTTTTTACATGTTCCCTGGTGCATCACATGCCACACAGTCTGGCAGCTTTGTCGCCGGCAAGTTCAAGAAATGGATATTTTATTGATCATTTTGTCTTGACACAGGGTACTAACTCACTGATACAGTTATCCCTCAATCCAGGGCTTGTTATAACATCCTTCAAAGTAAGAAAGCACATGCTTTTGCTGGCCTATGCCCAGGTATATGCAAATTTATGCAAACACATGCAAATATGTGGCTGGTTTTTTTTTTCTTCAGGGGATGTTGGCAGGTTTGGAGATGTGATGTAGTGGGAAGCAATAGCAAAACAGCAGAGAGGAGGGCTGGAAAATCGAGATCTCTGCATTTCTTAAGAGCTTTTGTTCGAGTCTGCTAAAGAGTTGTTTAAACACTGCAGGCCTGTGAGACTGACAGTGCTCCAGAAACTCCCACGCCCCGAGTCAGGCAGGGGGGGATCAAGGAAGTGCTGCAGTGATTTAAGGGATCTGCCCTTCACTTCACTCCTCTGGCCTGTCAGAGAAAGGAACTCGTGCAGCCTTGAGAAATCAGCAAACTAGAATTCAGGGGGAGCACTGGGGGTCGAGACATCCTCTGCCAAAGCGGGGGCAAAACATGGCTTTGCCTCCCTGCAGGCACCTGCCCTGAGTGCTGAGCCAGCAGAGCCACTTCTGCCAGTGATTGCACAGCAATTCACGAACCATTTCACAGAAACACTAAGAAGAACCTCTTGAGACTCCCCCTCAGCTGAGAATGGGAATGGGAGAGGGCTCACCCATTGCACTGTGCCCCTGCTGTGCACAGACCCACATGGGTTTTCTGCCCTGGACGTGCCTAAAAGTTATTTCAGACCCAAAGGAATCCTGTGTCTCCTACACAGGCTCAGGTGAGGGTTCAGCTCCTCACCCTGAGGTGTTTTCTGAGCTGTTCTGTGCCACCTGAGCTGGAGATTTGGGCTGGATTAGATGTCTCAAAGAGGAATCCCTGCACTGGGAAGCACTGAGGAGCCACCCAAACCTGTGCTGCTGAGAACCTGCCCCTTATATTTGCTCTTAAAACCATCTGTTTCCTTTTCTTGGGGTGGGGTGAGAGACTGGCCATGGGGAACTGCTTCAGGTTTCTTCCAAAGTACTAAGAAATGGGGTAGCAGCAGTTTGAAATAACCCTCTTTGGGGTCTTGGTTTGGATGTCCATTCCCTCAGGTGAAATACAGCCTTGGATGACTCCTCAGGCTGACCTGACCTCTTCCATCCAGCCTTTTCCCTCCCCTCAGGTTCCTGCATTCCCAGGACAGCAGGATCAGTGGGAACTGCACATCACAAAGGCTCCAGCACTTCAACCAGTACCTCTGTGCAGGACCCAACCAGAGGCACAGTTTGAGGGTGTCTCAGAGCAGCATTTCTCAACCTTTTTGTAGCCAAACTACCACCTGGTGCTCCACCACCTCCATGGGCTTCAGTTGCCACCAAATCAAAGCTTGGCTGTGCTTCAAACACGTCCTTATTCATGGAACAGCCATTTGCTTTGCCTGCCTCCTTCCCTGCAAACAAAGCTTGAGGCTTATCAGTATTCTTTGGTAGCAAAATTAAGTATTCAGCCATTTGAAATCTCATCTCCAGGTTGAGAAACACTGTCTTCCCACCCTGGTTTAAGCCTGTAGGAGCAGGGATTTGTTGGTGAACCACCCTCACAGTCTGTATGAGAGGCCTCAGGCCATCAGCAAGCTGAAGGTGAAGCCATTCCATGAATTTCAGGCAGCCTAGGATCTGGCATTTCGGCGGCAGGAAAGGAAGGCAGATGCAACTTTCCCTTTCTTCAGCAAATGCCTGACCTGCCAAAAAAAAAAAGGAGAAGTTCATAAAGCACCATCTGAACCCAAAGCATACACACAAACACACACACTTATATACATGAATATGTGCAACTAAATACACATCTCAACACACCAGGGGCTCCAGGGACCTTTTCACAGCTGCAGGCACAACACCCAACCCCTTTTGAGTGTGCAGGTGACCAGCAATCCCATACCTGGTCCCCAGCTCTCCCAGAGGGGGCCATGTGGATGGGCTGGTCGTTGTCCAGGTTCCTGATGCTCGGGTCTGCCCCGTGGGCCAGGAGCAGCTGCACCATTTCCTTCTGGTTCTTGTGCCCGGGCAGGGCAGCTGCCATGTGCAGGGCTGTGTTGCCATGTGCCTGAAAGGAAAAGAGGTAAAAAAGCCCAGATAAAGCTCCTGCTAAGCTGTGCCACCTCCTCGGGGTTGTCCCTGAAATGGAGATCTGTGAAACAAGAGCTGAAGAAGCCCCATGTCATCACTAACCAGGAGGTGAGGGAGGATCTCTGCTCTGTTTCTCCCATGCAGGAGATTCGTGGATTTAGATTTTTCTCTCTTCTAGAGCGCTACAAACTGTGGGGCTTTGATGCTTGGGGTATAACTAGATAAATAACCCTGTACCAGCAACACTCCTGATCGCTCTGCAACCCCCTGCTAAACCATTCCCTCGTGTGAGCAGAGACCTGAGGGGTCATTTGAGGAAGAGAAGGATGGAACATGCATGTTTATCCATGGGAATATTTCCCTGGGAAGCATTAAGCAGGATTTGGAGGCACAAAGCCCATTGTGCTGCTACACACCACGCATGGGCTGGACAAGAGCAGAGCCAGCTGTGCTCCACACATCCCCACTGCTCCCTTTCCCAACACTTGCAAGGGCCAGAAAGCTGCAGAATCCTGAGGTCAGGCACTCCCTTGAGCGTGGATCGAGTCCAGCTTTTCCAGCAACAGGATCTGCACGGGAAGGACAGAGTTGGCTGTGGAGCTGGGCAGGGGGGCAGGATGGAGAGTGCTGCAATTCGGGGCAGGAAAGCTCTGGTGCCACCAGACCGTGTAGAAATCTGGGCCCTGTCTAGTCAGTTATGACTGGTAACGGTTTTAAATGAGAAAAACCTAATAAACAAATGCATAAGGGGAGGTATTTTTAGTCTGCAAGAGTCTCATTCGGGCAGCTGCTTGTTTTTCTCTCAGAAAAGACCATACATTTGTCGTGAACTTGGAATGGTTGGGCAGAAATTGCAATGTGTGCTGCTCTTCCAGCTGTTAAAACAAACACACATGATTTTCAGGTCATATTTATCAGGGATATTGAGGCAGAAAATACAATAGCAAAACCCTAACAGCCCTTCTCAGACAAGGCACGTTTTACAAGCCCTGAACAAGCAGATCCTTGTCTATTTTATCATCCCAGAGAGCCAAGGGATAGTTACAAGCTCTTTACAGGATTTCTCGTTAAAGTGCAAACATCTGCATTTGTTTGCTGCACCTTTGTGGCAGGAGCACTTGACAGCTTCCAAATCCAGGCCTGGGCTCAGAAAACAAGGATCTGACAATGCCTGACCTTGAAGCCTCACATTGACTTTAATAGGGCTGATGGGAGACAACGGCCAGAGCACCAACTTGTGGGCTCTGGGAACCCTTCAGGTGAAAAAGACCTTTAAGATCTCAGTGTTTTTTGTTTTTTTTTCTCATTGTGAAATCCCCAAGGAAGCAGATTTGCAATGAGACAACCACAACAAGAAGTGGGTGAGCCAGGCAAGCCAAAAATATGGACTCCAGGGTGCCTGTTTCCTTGTTTTCTTTGTACTTGGAAGAGCTAAAAATCCAGTTTGGGTATCAGACAACCTCCCCATCACATTTCTCACTGTCCCAGACAGCTCAGCAACAAGACTGAAGACTCCAAGTGATCCTATCACAGCAGGGAGCAATCTGAGGGTTGTGATCAAGAGACAAGAGCAGCCTGCCATGGACAAGCCAGGACCTGCCTGATGGGTCTCCAAAGATACAGAAGGAATGTAGGGAAAAGGCCCTTCACTGGACAGAGAGACACAAACTCAGTGCCTTTACCCACAGACACAAAGCCAAACATGCTTCCTACAGAAATCTGAAGGGTAAGAAAAGGACTGAAGCTGTCCAGGATCCGCCTCCCAAGTGAGTTGGTGGAAAACATTCAATTCCTTTTTCATAGACAAAAACGTGTGTGGGAAGAGAAGAACTGGAATCTGGAGGACCCCAATGCCTCTAATGCAGCCTCCCACTGCAGCACAGCTCCCACACTGCTCCCAGCATCTCCTGTGCCTGGAGATGTGCTCACAAACCCCCTCCAGGCTCGCCCTGACTCACCTTGTTGTTGACAAAGTCCTTGGACTTGAAAGCGTTCAGCTCCAAGAAGTATCTGAGCAGGGAGATGTTCCCGTCCTGGACTGTGTAATGAAGAACTGTCTTGTTGCTTTTCACATCCTGTTTATAAAAACAGGAGAAAACAAACAAACAAACAAACAAACAAGCAGAATAAGAAATGTTCTGCAGAACAACCTGGAGATATTCCATAAACCCAGGCCAGCTCTGCAGCTCCTGTGGAGCATCTCCTTCCCTTCAGCGACCCTCTGACCGCCCAGGGTTTGCTCCAGGCTGCAAGAAAGGAGCCCCCAAAAGCAGCACCTAACTCTGCAACCAGTCCCTTGAAAAATCCCTTCTCCCATTCCCCATTTTTAGCACGGCACAAGCGCCAGGGAGGACTCAGGGGTGGCCGAGCTGCCCCTCACCCTGCTGTAGATGGAGGCCCCGGTGTGCACCAGGAGGTGGATGCAGGACTCCAGCTCCTCACTCTGCTGCTGGAGGTCTTTGTGCTGCTCCTGGGTGAGGCTCTGGCAGCTCTGCTCCCGGAGCAGGGCGTTGTGGGCCAGCACAGCACAGTGCAGGGGGGTATGGCCTGGAAAAACAAGGATGGGAGGGAGAGAACCACAGTCCAACCAAAAATACTGATGCACAGAGAGGAGGCAGAGCTGGCACAGAGAGCACGTGCCTCTCTCTGCATGTGTTATCAACACACAAGCCCTTCTCTGCTTTCCAATGTACCACATTGCCTGCATGGACAATTTTTGGGGCTCTCCAGTGTCTGCTCGTTTCCAGGTGTGCACTGAATCCCCTCTGAACCATTCAATTCTGTGGCATTTGAGTGCTCAGACACAACTGTCTCCCCCCCCAGGCAGTTCCTGAGCCCACTCTGGTCTCCCAGCCCCAAATCCCAACGAGCAGCAGACAATGAAATAGCCAACACAGGTTTTCAGGCCGCTAAAAAATATTGTGCAAAGGTTTTTACCTTCAAAATCCTTCATTTCTAAGTCAAGAGGGAAACCCAGTGACAGTATAACCTGGAAGCAACAGAGAAATTGAAAATTTCAGTTCAGCAGAACAGTGTCCAAGCCAAAACCTGTCAAAACCAACAAACTTTAAAATCAAACAAATCAGATGATGATAATTTCACTGCAAACTAAGCCCTTTTTTGACACTAGATATCAATGCTGTGAATCTGTGTCCTAACAGGGATATTCAAGGTTACACAAGATGATCATGTTCCCTAGTTTCCTAAACCCCACCTAATTATAATATCATGTTAGATTTATAGTTCAGAACAGTAACATTCAGTCACTGCCCCCAGCTCAGGAGTTCCAGCCTCCTCCCTGTCACCATGGATTAGGCAAAGACACCAGTAACACCAGTGCATATTTATCCTAAGTTCTCCTTGACAAGCAGAAATGGAAATTTCTCCTTGACAGGTTCAGCCAAACTTTATCACCTAAAAGTTCACCAACACTGACAATTCTCAGGTGGATTTATTTGCTTTTTGTTTTCAGTGTGTGAGAAGTTAAACCCACAGCTTGCTGCAGCAATGAGGATGCAGAGACCAGAAGTGGCCTGAACAGTGATCTGGAGGTGAGCATTGCTTGGGTTACAAATTTTAAAATAAAGAAATAAAGATTTTTTTAAATAAAGAGAAAAAAAAAATTTGAATTCTTGAATGTAAGAAAGTGATAGATTCAATGTGAAGGAGCTAAGCATATATTACTTATATACATAAGTATTACTTATATATATAAAATATATTATTTTCTGTATTACTATGGATAATAGTATTTCTTTCTCTTGATTGAATAAAACAAGTTGTTCCCACTACAAGGCTGAGAATTTTTGCAGTGCAGTGACTTATCCAGAACTCAAAGAAGAGAAGGCACAGGAATCTTGCTGCTGAAAGATGATCCAGAACAGTTGGGGCCTGACTTATCTTCTCATAACAACAATAAAATATATGCAGATCAAATATTGACAAGCAGCTCTGAGGTGCTTGATTATTAGAGATTAGATAGTTAATCCATTAGGGAAAAGAAAAAAAAACCCACAATAAAATAAACAAGCAAACCATAAAGCCTTTCATGGCTTCGACCACACCGAGAAGTAAGTTCGTGTGAGTTTTCCCTTTCAGTGGCAAAGGGGAGGGGGGAAAAAAAAAAAGGCATAAAAGAAAAGCCAAACAAAGAAACCCTGAAACACAAACCACCCCAAGGCACTCTGGGAGGCTTTGTTGGAATGGTCTGCCTTAAAACACTTCTCCCCGCTGAAGGAAACACCTGTTTTCCAAGGAACTCTCCGTGTTACACATTAACTGCCCGCTCGGGGCTTAACCCGGGGCACGTGCCAGGCAGAGCCAACGAATGCTGGGGATGCAGTGCCAACATGCCAGGCACCCCCTGGCACCCCATCCCCGGGCCCTGCCCTCGGGTAACCCCAGCACAGCCACAAAACTGCCTGTGCTCGGTCCCGACACGACTCAGGGCGGGGGTGTTTCAATTATTCCATTTTATGGCCGATAGTTGAGCGTTTAAGACACGTGCCTGCTGATCCCTGCTGTGCAATCCCTTCCCAGAGTTCCCACAGTGCCTTTTTAGGTGTGCTAATTCGCTCTTCAGGGCTGGCACACGAATCAGGTGGAGTCCCTGTCTGCAGAGAGATTTGTGGAGCAACAGAGAAGCAGAGATCTGCTCATGTCAGTCATGTTTTGAGTGAAATCTGAAAAAACGCCTCATTTTGAAGGCTGAGGCTGTGCTGTCCCTGCCTGCAGGGTCCCATCTGCTGTCTCCTCAGCTGGCTTGAGCCTGGACACAATTCCCTGCTCCCACCTGGATGACACTGACCCCAGAGAGGGGGTTTCACCCTGGTTTTTGTGCTCCCCCTCCTCACACCCCCTGGCTGGGGAACCCCCTCCGATGCAGAACCACACTGGGGGCTCAAGGCACAGCAACCCCACCCTGCTGGGGGCTAGACCAGCAGGTTTAGAGCCATGATCTGCAGAAAGAATGCATTTCCCCCACAGATGCACCAAAGATTTTTCCTCTGTAACAGGAGGCTGACGTTGGCTGCAAATACAGCCCTAAAACAGGAGAAAAACCACCCTTGGGAGGTCAATTCCTAACACAAGGAGTTTTTAGTCAGTCTGCCCTGCTTGCTGACACCTTGCCTTCTAAGAGAGTTGTTTAAAGACACCAACATCAACACTTTAGCGGGGGTATCAAAACCAGAAAGCTTCTCCCACCTGGAGGACTTGGGCATAGCCGTAGGTGGCAGCGAGGTGCAGAGCTGACTGCCCTTTGTTGTCCACGGCGTTGACATCTGCTCCTGCCTGGATCAGGTCGTGGACAATGGCTGGCTGCCTGGCAGTGACAGCCACCAGCAGGGGAGTCTGCAACAGCAGAGGAACGTGAGGGTCTGACAGCACAAAACAAGGAATGGGGAAAGCTGAGTGATGCCCGGAATCCCGAGGGTTGTGCTGCCCAAAAGGGACACAGCTCGCAGGGGGGTTTAGAACCCCACATGACTCCTTGACAGGTTCAGCCAAACTTTATCACCTAAAAGTTCACCAGCACTGACAGTTCTCAGGTGGATTTGTTTGCTTTTCGGTTTTAGTGTGTGAGAAGTTGAACCCACAGCTTGCTGCAGCAATGAGGATGCAGAGACCAGAAGTGGCCTGAACAGTGATCTGGAGGTGAGCATTGCTTGGGGTCACAAATTTTAAAATAAAGAAATAAAGATTTTTTTAAATAAAGAGAAAAAAAATTTTAAACTCTTGAATGTAAGAAAGTGATAGATTCAATGTGAAGAAGCTAAGCATATATTACTTATATATATAAGTATTACTTATATATATGGATCCTGAGATGGGCACTGCCCAGCTCTGGCAGAACTCCCTCTAGTGCTCTCCAGCCCCAGTTTGGCTGACAACCCACACCCAGCGTTTTTGGAGCACCGATTCCATCAGGTGCAGCCCTCCTGGCACCAACCAGTTGCTCATAAAACCTTCAGCCTCAGAGGCTGCTGCCAACAAACACAAATCTTGCTGGACCAGTGTTTCCTCAGATCACTCTATAAAAAAGAACAGGCTCGTTCTCATCCCACCTCATTTCTGCTCCCGCCAGAGGCACCTTGGCAAGGCTCAGCAGTGCCAAACCTTCCCCTGCACTAACAGAGGGGCAGAGCTGGGTTTTTCAGCTGGCCCCTGCCCACCCCAAACCCCACTGGCTGCAGGAGGAAGGGGTCCACCTTACCTTTCCTCTGTGCTCCTTGGCATCGAGTCCCCTCAGCGGCTTCAGTCGCTCTGCAGCTGCCCGGGCGTGGGCCCTCAGACCTTTAGCTGCATAAATATGTAGAATTCTAAGACAGCAAATAGAGACACTGGTCACTGCTCGGCCATGGACAGTTTTTACAGGGTGGCACTGCCACTTTCGGGGGGTTTCACACCCCGTGTTCCACAAATCCACGCCAGGAGCCTCAAAGGGCTCAAAGACCTTAAAGCTCCCACTCCCACGGAAAGGGCTTCCTACCTCAAACAACTGCAGTGTCCAGGAGCCCTCAGCACTCCTGAGCTCTGACACGCTGCCTCCTTCCCACCTCAGCACTTTCCTTCGGGTGAGATTCACCACTGGGAGGTACCTAAGCCCTCCCCAACACCCAGTGGTGGGGCCCAGAGTACCATATTTTGTGGATATATCACTTTTTGGGGTGATACAGCCCTGTATGTGTTGGTGGAATCCCACCCCCGGGGGTTACACACAACCCCTAAGTGGTATATTTGTAATCAACCTGTTAAACTCCACTTCTTTATCAAACCCACTGGTCAGAAGGACAAAGTCCTTGTATTCTGGACAAGACACAGAGTTGTCACAACCCACAGGAGTTGTGGGTTTGCTGGTGGCCCTGAGTGATGGGGAAAACACTGGGCTGCTTCACTTTGGTTGCCTGGCTCTGGCTGGAGCCACTTCCATTCCCCCAGGGCCCTGGGAATGCACAGGTAGCTTTGCCATCCCCCTCTGCACAGGAGGAGCCCATCCCACACGTGGTTGGACCAACCCCTGGCTGTGCCTTTTGCTCCAGACAGCGACATTTGGAGGCAGTCATTTCTCTCCTCGGGTAATTCTGCAGCCCAGAGCCAGCCCTTGCCATTTCAGGAAGTATAAATGCAGCTTTCTGGCTAATCTGATTTTCAGTCAAGCTCAGCATTAGCTGTGGCTGCACACCCACACATCCCCAGGGGTGCCAGGAGAGGAGACTAGAGATTGAACTGACACATGAACTGCTGCTGTGAGCAAGGACTGCTTGAGGAAAGTGCCTCCAGGCTGAATCATGGAATTCCTCCTTAGGCTGCTTTAAAGTGCAAAATTAGCACAAAATCTCACAGCCAATCCGTGGTTCCTGCCTGTACATACCACACTGAGCTAATTGATTGCTAAACCAATGCCAGGTCACCCTTTTGGATAGGAAATAAAACACTCTAGGCATAGAAAAGTTACTGTAGATCTTTATTGGGAACAAAAAAAAAAAAAAAATAAAAATTTGTCTTTTTCTAACCAGAACAACCCAGAAAGAAATTCGGAAACAGTTCATCATTGTTTTATATTCACACACAGAATTTACATACATTGGAGTGAAAGGGAATTGAGAAGCAATCTGAGCAACCACGGGCTTGATTCACAACTGCATTATCCCAGTTTTACCTCCCTTTCTTGTACTTGTAAAACTGGAGCAAGCAGTGGTGAACTAAGCTCCTTCCAATTAATTTCTTTGCTGGGTTTTTCTGCAAATATAAGCCACTAATTTCAATGCACACCTGAACTATTGCTATTTTCCAACAACTTTATGATCACTTACAGGATCTATTGCTTATGTCTTCCAGATTTGTCGATATTCAAAAACAAAATATGCTCAGAAAGCCTTTAAGACTTTCAACCTGAGCTTGTAAACCTCACTCAGGCATTAACTGTGAGGTGACTTGAAATATTGCCTGGGTGGCAACTGGACTCCAGGTAATAAGCAGTGCAATAAATTATTTTGCTGTTAGTCTTGCAAATAACAAAATCACCTAAGGCTCCTGGGCTTTGGAAAGCAGAAAAACCCAGAGAAATTGTGTTTACCAGCCAAGAGTCTGTTGTTTATTAAGAGAACAATAAACGGAGTTAGAAGGGGGTATTTCTCCTGCAAATATTTTTGCCTGTGGCATGGCACTCCTCAACATCAACCACAATATTTACAGAGGAAAAAGTAAAAGCTACTCGTTCTCCAGGAAAGGAAATCAGAAAGCTGCAAAGGGAATGTGGGAAATTTCCCACAGGCACAGGAGAGGTCCCTGATGTTCCTGATGTTCCCTGGCTCAGCACATCATCACCAGCTTCACACCCAAATGCTACAGAACAGGCAAAAATATTGCCAGATAATAGCCATGGCACAGACTCCTTGTCAGACTGCAGGGCAGGTTTTGGCAGCCCCTGCCTTCCCAGGGATCTCCTGGCACGGGGTCACGTCCTGCAGTCCTGACTCAGACAAAACTCCTGGAGGCTTCAGTGGGACCAGGATCTGCCCACTGGCAGAACATGCAGCCACTAAAGCAGCCCCCCATCCCAAAGGTGGGTATTTTAGAGTCCAGAACCACAAAAACCCTGAGTCCAAGCACACCCACAGGGCTGGATTCCAAGTTACACCTTTGAGTGAACTCAGATGTTCCATCTGCCCTGCAAATAGGGATGTCTGACTGCACTGGCATTTAGTTCAGCTGTACTGGCTTTATTTTCAGATCACTGCACCAGCAGAACAAAACCACACTTTAAATCTTCCTAAGTTCCCAAAGGAGCAGTTCAATTTAGGAAAGAAAAATGCTGATTTAAGCCCAAAAACGTTTTCTAGTGGCCTAGAGCTGGTAGAAGTTCCTGCATGGACAGGGCAAAGACACACACACACACACAAGGCATTTACACAAAAGCAGTCCTACTGAAGTGGGTCTTGGCAAGTGTGCCCTCACCAAATCCTACAGCTGGCCAAGGATACTCTACAAGATTCCAGTTTGAGACCCTTCCCTGTGCCTGAGGGTGAAAGTCACCTCGTGCTGATGCTGAGCACAAGTCTGCAGTATCAAAAGCCTGCCTGGGAGAGGCAGCAGGAGCTGCAACAGCAGAGAAATCCTGTGCTGGGCCCCAGGACAAAGCGAGTTTCACACAACACCCAAGTCAGGGCGTGCTAAAGTTCCCAGCCCACCCCCCTCCCACCCCGCCTGCTTTTCCTCTGTACTCAAAACTCTCTGTGGTGCCAGGTGGAGCACTGAGTAGGTGAGGGGCAGGCCTCAGGTGTGCAACAGCTCAAAGCCCTTCGACAGACAGAGCATGGTTTAGGACATACGTATCATTGTCCTCGTCTTCCAGCAGCAGCTTCTCGATGGGCAGCGCGCCGATGACCCGCCGGGCATCCTCCAGCTCCTGGGGGGCTGGCTCGGGGATGGAGATGGGCACGGGCACAAACTGAGGCCCCGAGAGCGTGGAAGAGGCTGGCTGGTACTGCAGAGTGGAGGCTGGCAGGGCAGAGAGGGGCTGTGCCCACGGGAAGTACGTGAGGGGCGGCTGCTGCTCCGTCACCTCGAGCGGGGGCACCACGGCCGGGGTGCTGCTCCGGGGCTGGCAGAGAAACAAAACTCAGTCAAACCAGTGGCCAGGTGGGGCAGGGGGTGGGGGGACACAGCACAGACTAGGGGTGCTCGGTCTGACCTCTAACATCCCTCTTCCTCTCCCTCTGGGTGCTCTGAGTGTGACACTTTCCCCATGAGAGCGGTGGCTGTGGGTGTCCCAGGTGCTGGCTGCCACGAGCTCACACTCGTGGTCCGGTTCCCTCTAGCTTTCTGTTCCCATTCCCACCCTCTCTGTAAGCCCATGGGACTCTCACACCCTGTGCTGGAAACTGCCTTCTTGACAGTCTCTTGCAAGTTGACTTTGCTGCCACGGGGCAGCTCGTCCTGGCTCTGGAACAGCCCATCCTGACCAGCCGGGTCACCCACGGCAGAGCCACCCCAGAAATGGTGGCCCTTCCTCAGCACCGAAGGCCAGAGGGCACAGGCTGGGCTTTGGGTGCTTTGTTGGCTCTGTTTGAGCAGCTGAACTGAAGCACTGAAAGGAAAAATCAGCTGCTTGAGTTCCACTGAAACACGAGTCTCTGCCCTTCTCCTCCAAGGAGGAACAAATTATCTTGGGTCGTCCTGCAACCAAATATTCTGCTGTCTTTCCTATCTTTGTGTGCTATTTTGACCTTCCTCTTCCATCAGTAAACAGCAACTTTGGAGAAATTTATTGCCAAGTCACTCTTCCTTCTTCACCTGTTGTGTTTCCTGGAATCCCATTTACCTGTGCTTTTTTTTTTTTTTAAGCTTGGAAATCAATAGTGAAGAACCCCTACTCAGCCTGGAGGAGTGGAAAAAGGCAGTGAATTTTGCCTGATTCCAGTACAACCACAGCTTTTTTGCCCTGTTCAAACCACACTGATGTCCAGCCAGTGCTAGAACAGCTACATGGCAAGAATGCAAACATACACAATATGATGCAATTAAATAAATCAGACTAACTGCACCAGTCAGCCCCATGGCTCTTGCTAGAAGGGACTCAGGGGAATCAGGGAATTAGCTAATTCCTTAGGGGGAATTAGCTGTCACTTGTAACCTTTGGCTCACTGCAAAACTGGCATTTTTGACTTACTGCAAAGTTGGTGATGAGCGGCTGGGAAGTGTAAGTCAGGACAGATGAAGGTCCCACCAGGGTGTAGCTGGGACACATGGGCTGGACGTACATGTCTGCTGTGTAGGGACAGCTGGCTGCCTCGTGGGACACGTACTCGGGGTAGGTGGTCCACTGGGTCAGGGGCTGCAGGGATGTGGGAGAGGGCTGGGGGATCCAGCCAGAAGCCAGTGCTCCTTCGTCTGTGACTGGCAGAGCAGGGGCAGACACGTCCATGTCAATGCAGGGCTGGCCTGATAAAAACAGGAGAAATTAAAGATTAAACCCAGCCCAGCCCAGCCTTCCCTGCAGCAAACACTGGGAGGGTCGGGGATACATTACCCATTGGGGAATAGGAAGGAAGTGGCTGATGGGGCAAAACAACCTGGAAGAGAGAAGAAAATAAATTCAGAGGTGAAGACCATCAGCATTAAATTCAATCCCTTAGAGAAGCACTGAGGGACAGAGCATATTGAGTGTTGTCAGCTGGTTATCAGCTACTACTGCACTGTCAGTGTCTGAATTTCCCCACCCAGAAGAGCTGAGCCTGGCAGCCAGGACACATAACCCCAGCTCAAGGGGACCTTAAACTGGGCTTAAACCTTGTGTTGCAGAGGGAATTCCTCTTCAGAGAGGAGCCAGTCCACCTGCTCCCTCCTGGGAGGGCAAATACAGGCTGAAACCAGGCAGCAAATCACCAAGGATGGCTCTGGGTCACCCCTTTCTGTGCTCTTGAACAAGCTGCCTCACTTCCAAGCCACTTTTTGTCCCTAGGAATTAGATCCTGCCAAGAGCAAAGCGCTTTTCCCCTTTCAGTGGTGGCTGAAGGTGCTCAGCACACTAAAGGGGGTATTAAAGGTATTTGCCAGGTAACAGGAGGCTGCAGTGCCTGCTTCAGAGATGCAAAGATTTCTTTCACTGCCAAGGCAGTGCTGGGGCTGGTCAATCATTT